TTTGACCTAAGTGAAGCCTAAGTAAATATGATTTCACTTTGAATAAGTCTCTCTCTGTCTCTTACGTACACACAATCCCAACGCGTGTGATTTCATCTTTCGTAGCTGAAGGTCAGCCATTTCAATGCTGTATTTTTTCCACAGCGAGTCACAGTTTCTGCTCTCTTGGCAGATCTGCACAATCGACACCCTAAATAAACCACAAAAGCAAGGCAATTTGAAGTTATTGGACGCTTTTATTCTAATATAGCACCCAGCTCTGTATCACATACATTTTCCAAAATTAGATGGGCATAGTATAGAACACTATATATTTTGCAGCTTACCACGTGGACAGTCTGCAGCTGTGAAAACAAATTGCTTAAATCTGGCTATCTACTTTATAAGTTAAAATTCAAATATATAATAGCCTCAGGTTATTTTTTTTTTAGATTAACAACGATAATGCTTGCAATACAATTTTTTATATCAAAAAATCAGTAACAGAGTAAAACATCATGATATGTTCATAACACATTATCATGAAGATAACTGAAAAAGGCTTCAAAGTACATCATCTCTTCTCAAAGGTATTACATCACTTAGAATTTTTTTTTTCTGAAAAAATACTTTTACTCTTTAGTCAATAAAATACGTGCCTTCACGAGGGCCTCTCTTCCTTCTTCTACAACCCTGTGTATTTTCTTGTCAAGGACCATGTGTGCTGAAGGCCGAAGGGCTGATGGTGTTGGAAAACGAACACCCCTCATTCCCTGGCTAGCAACTTTTAGAAGTGCTCTTTCTCCTAGTCTGGAAGCTCAGCTGGGAGGAAGGCAGCTTATACACCACTAAAGGCAAATTTTATACCATGCCCATCCTAAATGCTTCCTGTGAAGGGTTCCAAGTCCCAACCATCCCTTTGGGGTCGTTTTACCGTGCAAGTTGTCACCACCCCATGCTGGTTAGCCCTGGCAGTGTAAAGCTGGGACTGTATGGATGATAGTTGAACAAGTTATTCTCCTTGATGTGCATACAGAATTACCAGTAGCAAAACTACTGCCATGCACATAAAACCCATTTGGAGATAATCTTTTGAGTTAAAAAAGATATTCACCAACTTACCAATAACAGGGCTGAATCCACTAATCACTGACATTTTTGCTATGTCAGCAAAACTCTCTGGAAGAGAGAACTGAGAACTGCCTGGGAAGAGGGGGTAAAGTTTCTACTGCATCCTAGTATAAAATTAATAACTAGGAGAAGGATGTTGATCAATAAGGATTAATGTTTGTTCATGGGCAGTTTGTTTAATGGAGTGTTTCTGAAATGGAAGCTGTTTGCCTTGCTTATTTACCAGGTCATTATTTATATTTAAAGGCTCAAATAAAAATGGCTTGATCTACAAAGGCAAGCAGTCACTAGACTTAGCTGGGCATTTTTCTTTTTTCACCACTGAATTACCATGTATTGAAACAAATATTTCATAGAAAGGTATCAGGTGATATGAACATTAACAGATCCATAAAGAAATGCATGATCAAAAGGAAAACACAAGTGCACATTTACATGCACATGGAGGAAGATTCTTATCTGCTCCACTCAGTCTTGTCCTGCTGACATAAATATTTAATTGTCCAAACAAGAATAGCTGCATGAAGTTGAAGACTTAGAAAGGAGCACCAGGCTCACGGTCTACGCATCCTCTCAGACGAAGCCATGCTCCCGCTCCTATTCCCAGTTATCCTCTCTTGCTGGGCATGTTCTGGCCTGCATAAATACCTACAGAAACTGTGAACTGGGGAGTGAGACCTGATGCGTGGGAAGCTGCTCTTGCTCTTTGGTTGGGAAGTAGGCTGGGAGAGGCAGATCCTAGTTGCTGTTCTGGGTCAGGCACATCAGAGCCTTAAAGCTGATAGCTCTCCTGTAACTCAAGAGAGAGCCCTGAACATTGAGCCAACCTCCTGCGAGGTCTCCCCTTCTGACCAGATGGTCTGTCTTGGGTCTTGGAGCATCTCCCACCCCAAGTTTCAGAAAGCAAAAGTTTCTGCAAGAAGTGATGACTTTGCTGTACCCACATTTTTGCAAAGGAAAAATATTTTTCGAGAAAAATCTGTGATACTGGATTTAGATGTGAAATGTGGCTAGCCAGTGTCTGTTAATAGTAGCCATGAGTGTGGGTGCATGGAGCAACTGCCAGAAGCACTGTCTATAGCTTCGTCATGCCTTCTCCTCTCCCTCTCAAAATGCTAACAGCCTCCCAAAACCAGACACACTTTTTCATTTTGCATGGGGTATCATGAATGCTTAAATACTGAGACATACAAAAGACTAACTTCCTGCATCATACCTGTAACACACCAACTTTTCTCCTTGAATATTTCACTTTACTCTCTATGTGAAGTAGTGTATCATCATCATAGCCAACATTCCAGCAAACAGAACACAAATCAACTCACATTCTAGGCCTTGAAGCTGAGTGGGGCATTTGATTGCATCCCTAAAAATGCAGACATGGTTGAATTTTAAATTTATTAAGTCCTGCCTGTGGTAGAGTAACAACCGAGTAAATATTTCACTGTTGGCTAACCAAGTATCCTACTTTCCAGTGAATGAAAAAAACTCTATACATTAGAAGGCACACATCTGACACAGAGATATAAAATAGACTTTTCCACTCTTCCTTTGAACAGCATCTATTACATGAATAACCCAGTGAAAATAAATGGAGGATTATGCTAGAGGAAGCTGCTATCACACATGAAAAAATAATCTACTGCCTTAAAAATGCAATGTGCACATTTGTTTGTAATCATTGAAAAGCTTTTCTTAAAAATAACCCATAAAATAAAAAACAAAGGTGCAATATGATTGTTTCCTATCAAATAGGAGGGGTTATTAACCAAATGGCAATGCAAGAACTAAAAAGTAAACAAAGAAAGAGCACTTCATTAAAATCTCAGGAATGGCTCAGTGTTATGAACATATTAAATAAATGATGATAACTTCTTAACAGTACCACTACTAGCAAGAGGGCAGGGGCTGTTCTGCAGCTTCCCAGAAAAGTTTGCAGTTGTCGCATTTTGTTGCTGACCAGGAATGGCCATCTGACCCCAGCTAAGCAACACTCCCACAAAAGAAGTCCCAAATCCACAGAAACGGTTCTTGCTTGTTAACATAATAATGTTTAGCTGACTCAAAATCAATGTGTTACAAATACAGATTTTCAGTAACAATCCTGCAAATGCTTACTTTCACCTTCAGACTCCTGTACCCATGTCCCACATCCATATCCCTTTCAGCAAAAGTAGGCTGTTTCCTCATCACTTCAAACACTGCCAGTGATGTCTTTCTTATCTCTCAACAAAACATTTGGCTGCTCTGATGTCCTCTCATACACCACCACAGCCACTCTGTGATACACCCCAAAGGGAGGCTACCCAGCTGCTTCAAACCTACTTCTCCTTCCTCTCAGCCCCATGGCCATCCTATAGCTACATGGAGAAAGCGTTGCATCAACAACAGTAAAAAAACTACTGCACCGTTTCTGCAAGGCAAATGTGTACACTTAAATTAGGTCAGTGAACAACAGGATACGAAACATGTGCAGTGTCACGTTTAAGACGGATAACAGGTAGGTGATGTTCCCTTGAAGTGAAGCACACATCGTATCTGTGGAGGGGGCAGGGCTGACACCGTTATGTCTGAAGTCACTCAATCTAAGACTATTGGCCCAAGAAATAAACCAACATTAGTTAGACAGCTTCCTTTATGAGAACTGAGACTGAAGCCAATGACCACTGCATCCATGGAAAAATCCCCACAGGATTCTGTTGTCCCTGGATCACATCCAGGTAAAAAAATTAATCCTTGCTTCTTCATTTAGAAAATAGATGGGCATTACTAGCTTCATCCTATCAGCAGCATCTCCAGCGAGGTGCAAAGTAACCTTAATGAAAGCCTGTTGTACGGGGCAATTATTTCCATCACATATTTTATAACCTCATATACAGTACTTTTGCTATCTTTCTTCTTTTGGAAATACAGTTCTTGTACACATCTTTAAAGCAAATCAGCAACTATTAAGACAACAAAGCAAACTAATACAAAGGTACATAGAACAGCTTTTATAAAAATGCCCAGAATGCTTTTATAACCTCTTGTTAGAAATACACTGTTGGTTTAAAAAAAAAAAAAAAAAGAAAGAAGAAAAAAAGCAGAAGAAAGAAAAAGCTATAAACCAGTGATCTCAAACATGCTAAAAGTATGCAGAGACACTGGCAGTTGCAAGCAAGTGTTCAAACACTGCTGACAGGAAACAGTTATAGCTCAAAAAACAGATAATTTTTTTGTAATTTCCAAAATAATTAAATTTTAGTATATGTTACTGTTTTCTCATATGATGTGAGCTTATAAAATACAAGTTCTCTAATGTTAAAATACATCTGTGATTGCATAATAAACCATGCTACGAAAATAATTATCTGACACGATTGTGGTAAAGACTCTGTATGTCTAGTGAGTTTTATTCCTTTAGTACACTAAACCCAGAGGTACTCTACCATGATACAATCCTACAGGAACCAGTAACACCCAGAAGCCCACCTCAGAGGATGAGTTTTAAGCTTAAGCAAGAATTCAGGAATGCTGTACCTCTTAACGATCAGGGCAGAAGGTGCTGCCAGAATACATATAAATCAGGAATTCTTTACATAATAAAATACTCTCAAATTATTCATTTTGGTGATAAACTGCATTTACACATTAGGCTGGGAAGAGGGAGGAAAGAAGGCAAAGCATCCCCCCCCCACTCAGAAACATCTGGCAGTCAGATATTTGTTTTCTGTACCTTCTTCAGCTGCAAAGGTAAATGTACAGAGTGGGGTGAAGGGAGACCAGACAAGCTGGTCCTCCCCACTACCCCCACCTCAGCAGAAACCTTGCCCAGCTGTGCCACGCTCCTCTTCGTGCAAGGCTGCCAGGTCGCGTGCTCCGCTCTTGCCGTTGCACAGGGGTGTGGGAGGTCACAAGACAGTGACAGGACGTAGCTGCTCCAGCTGCGTTTCCAAGGCAATTCGTTCCTTGTGAACCTCCTGTGGGACGGAAAGAGATGCGCTGTGACTTTTGGGATGCTCACATCCACCACCTGGCTCCGGTGAAGAGCAGCCAGGCGAACCACTGGCATTGACTGGAGGCTCAGGACTCTGCTGGTTAAGTCACTCTCCCTGCAATCTCAGAACACCATACCAACGGTACACCACCACCCCTCACAGCAGTTTGCTGCATCCTCCTTACAGAGGGGCAATGCAGAGGCTCAGTCACTTGCTCAGGTGACCATGGAGAGGAGCAGTTATCTGCTGGCTAGGGGAACAGCCCGGGATGCAGCAAACCTGGCCACAATTTGGCCTTTTTACCACAGAAAATCTGCTTATTCTGAAAGCACAATTCCCTCAAAACTGCCTTTTTTTTTTTTTTTTTTTAAGACTTCTCATTTCACATAATCAACCTCTTTCACTGACTGAAAGATGAATTTGCCTTTCTAAAACAACACAGACTTTGCAATCTACGTCTTTGGCAGCTGCATCAGGAAGATGATTGGTCTCGGTCAGAAAATAACTGTGAAGTCTTTGGGGATCAGCAATTTCAGGAAAGCCTTCCCTGGTCTTGAGGCTGGCCCTACGCTGAGCACCCAGCTCTCGCTGACCTCCCATCAAAGCGCTCCCCAGCCTGTGTGGGAGCTGGGCTGACCTGTGACTCCCACAAGCTTTGGTACCCCACACGGGCAGGCTCACAGCCCCAGCCCCGGGAGCACACCTGAACACCCCCCATGCCTCAGTGAAAGCTCACTGCACCCGAGGGGTACTCATGACGTCTTCTGGTCCCCATAAAAACACCAAGGCCCTGCTCCATCAGAAAGCTTCCAGGCAGCAATATGACCTGAAGGACAAGTTCAGTTTTCTGCTCGTGTGAACTCAAGCAAATCTCTGTCTTTACGTGCTTCCTTCACCTTACCATAAAACACAGATAACAGCGTGCTTCATGAAGGCTGGGGAGTTTAAGCATGCTGAAGATAGTGAATGGAAGCAGATAAGACCTGAGCCAAAGAATGATGGCAATGTGCTGTCATTAAAAGCTTCCACCTCTCTGCTTATTTCAATCGCTGTCCTATATTTTGCTATGATTTCAGTACAGAGCATCCACCCTGCATTGCTCTTGGGAGATCCTTGAAAGATGATTAAGAAAGTATGTTAAAGCAAAGTTGAACATGGAATCAAACTTTCACCCTGACTGAAGAAAAAGTGTAACTGGGAGTTCACCTCCCTTTCCAGACAGGTGTGTTCATAATATGCAAGGAAGAAAAAGCTGTAGCAGATAAAAAACTAAAGTCTGCACTACCTTTGGACTAAGACAACAGAACAAAACCAGAGCTGTAAGAAAACAGCCCCTTGAGAACATGTTAAAAGAAAAGTCATCAGACATTAAAAATTAGTGTTAGATGTTCACATAAAGCATGATTTAGTCAGTCAATATATACCAAATGCCTGGCTCCAGGAGACAGTTATGTAGCACAACTGATCAGAAGACAAGAAAGCTACGGTTGAGTTGCTCTTCTGCACTGGGTGACACCATCACATTGCCAAACTCTTCAGAAAGACAAAGTTCACTCTTTAGACTAACTGCCAGTGGGACTGTAGGCCCATAGGTTATAACTTTTCACAGAAAGCCTCATCCTACCCACATACACAGTATAGTTATTCCCTTCCAAAAAGCAGGAAATAACACAGTAGGTTTCATCTGAGAGGATGAACCAAATTCTCTGCTGGAGGTGACACATAACTGATTGCAGGGAGCTTTGTCACCAACTTTCAATGCATTCCTTACCTTCAGCTGCTGCTGGAGCTCACTGTTCAACCTGGTGAGCACAGCATTGGCTTCTTTGTTTTTTCGTATAGCGGTCTGAATAGCCCGTTTCTGCTTGGAAGACTGTCTGCCAGACAGATAAATAGAAAACATTTCAATTAAGAGCCTCAACAGTGGCTGATGCAAGAAGACCAGCTACCCATTTTGCACTTCCATACTCTATACACACTGGACTACACTTCAAAGACAAGGTGCAAACTACAGATTTAAGAGAAGAAAAACGTAACACTGAAATGAGACGGCTGAATCAGTTAGACTATTTGAAAGTAAAACAGTCACACTTGTTAACCTGAATGCCAGAAACATTTTAGGCTGTCTCAATTCTTTCAACATCACTGCAGTCTGATTCAGCTTAAGAATAATCCCTCCATAGCTGCGCTTATTGCAGTACCTTTGCTTTAGCTGTTTTCAGACACTTGTAGTGTTTAAAGATTCAGGAGTGGTTAACATAAAATACAAAAATTATTCTATGCAGTAGGAAAGTACATCTGCATGAAAATACTGTCTTGGATTTTTTAGAGCACTGCTGATTCTGATGTTCCTTTACTTCAAAAATTCATCTTTATTTCATCCAAAGCAGTCGTTTCCACCAAAACTACCTGATACCACAAACAGGAACAGGTAGATGGCTTATGGACTTTCCTCATCGCTTTGGCTGCTTAAATAAAAGATTTCTGTTCTATTATTATTATTACTCTATAGCCCATGGTAACTAATTTTGAGGAAATTACAATTAGGCAGACAGCTCTTTACGTAAGGACCAATCTATTCAGAGAAACAGAGATAACAACAGGAAAAAGGAAAAAAAATACAGAAAATACTGTCTGAATATCCAAGCTCTTTTCCAAATAGGCTATTTTGAAGTTTTATACGAGGCATCAAGAGCTCTTTAATGACAAATTTGATTTAAAACAGATGCCCTATTTAAATAAGGTCCATAGTGGTACACAGTCCCCATTAGCTTTTTTCTTGTAACAGAGCTGATGGCACTGATCTTTGCAACACAATCTGTTTTACAACACAGGGAGGTCTTCATACTGTTATCTTCCAGTGAACTGTCAGTTTTCTGCTTCACTATTTTGCTTCAAACTACTCTCCATAGGCTATAACATAATAATGACAAGAAAAAAACAAAAAAAACACAGGGTGATATACCTCTGTGATCAACTTTTTAGGAAAGATATAGACAAGCCAAGATTAAGTTGAGATCCTAACCAATGCTTTTATCTTTCTTTGAACCACTATGGAATATGCACTCCCAAATCACAAAATAGCACTTTAAGGGCATCTTAGGAGTCTTATTACTTATTCTGATGTCCAGTTAAGCAGCACAGATTCAGTCTACTGCTAAACAGTTTGCCAAGAACAGCTGAACTGATTTGGGCAGCTCGGTTTTGTTTCAGACTGAACCTGATGTCTTTGCAAGGCTTCAGGTGAAGGTGGGGTATAATGTTTGCACACTGATTCAGCCGAGGGAGATGTACAGATCAAATAGGGCTTCAAGTGCCTTTGCTTACCATTTCTACAGCCCCTTCTCCACTGCTATTAAATAAATATATAGTGAAATTCCTACAAGTCTTTGTTGCTGACAGCTTCAACAGCTATATTTATTGGGAGCAAACAACACATGCTGGGTTTGGCAATTATCAGATTATCACAAGTGGTCTTATGGCTCAGCTCATACCAGTGTCGAGCCCATTTCTAACATGCCTTGCACTGAAGAAACATCACAAGGATGTAACCAACATCAAGTATTTCATGACTCAATCTCCTGCGCACTTATCTGGTCACATCTGTCCACATGAATGAGCAAAATTCCAGAAGCTATGCAAAAGGCAAAACCACACACCCACAGAGCCAAAAGGAGTTGTGTGAGAGATGCTGGTTGAACAGCTAGGCTTGCTCTTCAGACATGTCTACCAGATACAGAGGTAGGACACCTTTGAAGAGGGTATCAACCAAATATTACCAACTTCTACTGTCACTACAGACTTAAGTCTGCATTTGAAAAGACAGATGTAGATTGCAGAGACCTGTATCTTGCGAAGCACTCTCAAAACCAGAACTACTAAGCACAAGATTACGCAAAGAGCAAACCCTGCAACATCAGGTCTCATGGTGTAGTTTGGCATGCTTGGTACAGGTTTTTACTTTTGAACTGGGAGGTGAGGCTTGACTGCTGTCAGGGAAGAAGTCACATTTATAGTGGGAGAAAGCTCGGGGGTCTCCAGCCCCTGCACCTCCGTCCGGAGCTTCCTGCGGGCAGGTTTGGAGGGTGGCTGAGAGAGAACAACCTCCTGCAAAGGAGAAGCACAGCAATGTTAAATCAGGCCATGTGTGTCCCATCATTAGGCTGAGGAATACTTGTGACACTGAAATTCAGCTGGCTTAAGATTTCATAATTTAAAAAGGTACAGAGCTTAATGTGGTAATAGCCTGTCAGGTTTCGGACTTTGAAAAAAAGGAACAATAGCCCCTGCAACCCCTTAATGAATGAAATGATTACACTGGTGTTTTGTCTTCATCTGTATGGCAGGCACTTCAGAACTGGATTGTATAGCTCTGTGTGCATTTGTGGGGGAAGGGGAGGGGGCAGAAGAAGGGGTACAAACACATATACTAGCCCCCAGCTGACCCAAAAGCATTAAAACCAAAACAAGATTTATTTTTAATTACGCTCAGTTGGTAAGAATCAATTATCAATCACTTGCATCTCAACCTACTACCTCACCCATCTGGCAAAGAGTCTCTCCCTTCTCCCCTCCTCTCTTTCACGAGGCAACACTGAAACTAGCTTAGCAAGACAAATGTATAAAATTATCCACGCAAAACTAACATATTCGAAATGTAGAAGGCCAGTTATTTCTCTCGATAAGCTACATCAAAGAAATAATCTGGTTTGTAGGTTAAAGAGAGCCTTGGAGTTTTACTACTTTGGTGGTAAGAAGTGTTTTCATTATTTTAAATTTAGACATCCCTTCTTTTGCAATGAGAAGTAGTTTTAATGCCTTATAGCTGTTTTAAACCTGAAATATAAATATATCTTTTTCAGTGTATTTTATTATCAGATTTATTTTAAAAGGGATACAACTATGTGCTTGTTTTGGCTAGGATAATCTTCATATTAGCTAATATGGGGCTAATGGTTTGGATTTGTGCTGGAAACAGTGTTGATAACACAGGGAGGTTTTAGCTGTTGCTGAGTAGTGCTTACACAGAGTCAAGGCCTTTTCTGCTTCTCACCCCACCCCACCAGTGAGTAGGTTGGGGGTGCAGAAGAAGTTGGGAGGGGACACAGCTGGGACAGCTGACCCCAACTGACTAAAAGGATGTCCCATGCCATAGGATGTCATGCTCAGCATATAAAGCTAGGGGAAGAAGGAGGAAGAGGGGGGACACATTCAGAGTTACAGCATTTATCTACCCAAGTAACCATTACGCACGGAGCCCTGCTTTCCTGGAGATGGCTGAACACCTGCCTGCCAATGGGAAGCAGTGAATGAATTCCTTGTTTTGCTTTGCTTGAGTGTGTGGCTTTTGCTTTACTGATTAAACTGTCTTTATCTCAAGCCATGGGTTTTTTCACTTTTACCCTTCTGAGTCTCTCCGCCATCCCACCAGGAGGAGTGAGCAAGTGGCTGGGTGGTGCTTAGCAGCTGGCAGGGGTTAAACCGCACCAAACTGTTACTGCCCCATTTCATGAATGAGAAACCTAAGCCTCAAAAAGATTGTGACTTAAATGTTACACACCTAGTGCCATAGTGAAGCCCAGAGACCAAATTTTATTACTTGCACAGGGCACATTTTACTGGGCCAGACGATCTTCTTTATATGTTTTGGCCAAATGTTAAAAAAATAAGAATAAAATTAAATGAGGAAGCATTTAATGATCCAGCAATCATAACAAAAAAACCCAACACTTTAGTAAGCAGCCTGACTCAGCAGAAGAGACTACTACGAGTGATACACAATGAAACCAACGTGAAACCATCAATAATTAGTATTACAGGAATTACAATTATTATAGGAATTAGAAGTATAAGGAAACAAGGGGTTTCAACATTAAAGACGTCTGCCACTACTGAAAAAAAAGAAAAAAGGTCTTAAAAGATTACAAGATCTTTTGATCAGGACATCAGCACTGCACATATCTCAGATAATATTGTGCTCTGAAATCCTATGTATACATGTAGCTCCCTGCAAACACAGGAGTATGGCAAGGAAGGAAATTGCGTATGCCTTCTGCAACTATAAACTGGTGGCATGCCAAATGCACAATCCCAGTCTACCTTAAACTGACAAAAACCTACGAAATCCATAGGATAAATCCCTCTTCCATTTCAAATGCAATACTGGAACAAATGACCCAATACCTAAAAACAGAGTCCTCTGCAGGGGCTCTCTGGCTGGCTGCTGTTGCATCAAGCCCTGAAAGGTGGGTCAGCACTGCACCACCAACCTGCCTCCCATACCCCACAGCCTGGGCTTCTCTGTATTTTAGGGAGCCAGGCAGGGGGAAGGCGAGCATAAAGCAGGTGGACCACAAGAATTTCATTTCCCCAGCAGAGCTGCAAAGCAGAGCAAGGAAGAAGCAGGGCCAAGCTCTTAGTAGCATGCAGTCAGCACAGGTGGAGCAAGGATGCTGCCCGGAAAGCCTATATCACATCTAGGAAATGACACCAGAGATTTGCCTGAGCCCCCCATTAGGGTAAAAGAAGTGTGATGGTGCTCCCTGGGCAAGGTACATACTACATACAGCACCTGCCTACAGTTCTCGCTTGGGCTGAGCAAATGTCTCACAGGTGCTCCCTGGCTGTAGGAGGGGCTGGAGTGGGGAAGATCTGCATTTGCCCCGTCAAAACCTGTTTTGACTGGGGCTGGCAGCAGAGGCAGTGGGGGAGCACGACCAGGAGTGGGGAAAGGCTCACAGCCATTGCTAGGGCCACTCCATCCCTAAGTAAGGTCCTGTGAAGAGTTCCATTGCAATTTCAGTGATTACTTTATACAAATGATACGTTCATACAAAAAACATATTGTCAACTGCACATCTTGAACAAATCTCTTCCAGTCTACATACATTTAGTAGCAGATTCTGACCTCTAGCAAACAGGTATGTTTACATCAAAACCCAATCCTCAGTAACGGGAAGCAAGAAGTGCGTCACAATTTGGAAGAATTACAGCAAGACAGGGTCAAGTACAATCAAACTCTCTTTTGTCTCCCCTAAGGATCCACAAGCTCCTATTGATTTGAAACAAATGGCAAGCTGCCTCTCTTGAAGCACTTGCATCGATGTGTATGTACTAAGAGCTTTCTTAATGATTTATCTGAGCTGATGTCACACGCAACCCCTGTTCTCTCCAGTGTCTTGACCTCCAGAGAAACTAAACATGTAAAAACGTAACCCTAACCCTCCGTTTAATTGCTTTAAAACTTAAACCAACCACATTTGTTGATGAAGGTAAATCGCTCCACAGTGGTACAACATGTGCAGGTCTCACCTTTTTTGCTGAACTGTTTTCTTCTGCCTGCGACGGGGGTCTGTTCATCTGAGGATGTAATTCAACCTCAGATACTTGCTCTGTCTGCAACAACAAATCAGTCATTGCTACACCCAGAAAACGACCAGCAGTCACATACAATAAAGTCAGTGAAAGGAAACACTATACACAAAAGAAAAGTTACTTTAACAATTCAACAGTAGGGGAAATGGAGATCCAGGGTGACAGCTGAATGGATGACATATGTCTTTTGCAGATTTTTAATGAAACCATTTTTTTGCATTTTGTTGTGTTAGGAAAACAAGAGAAAAGTTTTCCTGTGAAGCATTAGGAACCATGTCTATGAATGTAAATGACCTAGTACCCACAATTTCTTCTAGAATTACCTCTACAGCCTAAATACTCAGAGAAAGACTAAGAGGAGTGGATAAAAGCTAGAAAGATCTTGGTTGCGCTCTGTCACCTTATCATCTCCTGTAACTGATGAAAATTCATCGGAGTAAGCCTCTGTCTTTGAAGTTTGCAAGGCTGGAGTGAGAAAGTCTGAATTATACAAAAAACTCCAGCAAAGTTACTGAAACCAAATAAATCTTCTTCCCTCCCCTCTTCTCACATTTCGAACAGAAACCAAGCTGAACATTCACCACACAGGTCTACACTTGGTAAAACAAAACACCCTCCCCCCAGCATATCTGACCAAGCAGCAAATTAAAACAGAGGGTTAATCCTTTGCTTCGCCTCTCCTGAAATCTCCCAGCATCTTTTGAGTTGCATCACCAGGATGGGGCACAGCACACAGCCAGGGGAGGCCGGCTGCATCTGGAGCTGCCAGTCCCCCAGGCACGCTGCGGCAAACACGGTGCAAACACAGCGCGGCTGTTTTCTGTCCAGAAGGTACTGGCTGTCTCTGCAAGACGGGGAAGGCAGGCAGGAGGCTAAAGGCACTCAGCACTGGCAGACAGCCTCCTCTCCTCATTCCCAACTTCTGCCAAGTGGGAGCCTGTCTGACAACGGCCCCTAGGCAGGAGAGGCAACCCGCCACCCTGCTCTCTCTGCAAAAAAGGCTTGTTTCTACACAGGTGAAAGCCTGTGTTTAAAACCAAGTTCAAGGCAAACCTCAGACTTTAAAGGGGACAGGATTTTAGCCATAACAATAATAATGACCTGTCGCACACTGAAAAACTTAAATCACTGTTGCCAAGAGGTTTCTGCATAAACCGATCAAGCTCTGTAGCAGTCACAAGTTTCCCAGTGCTTAACCATAAGTTAAACAAAAATGACAGAAAGCACAGAATTTGGTATACTCTGAAAGGAGGGACTTTTTCGTACCACTTCTATTTCTTCCATAACACACACAATAAGAGCTATACAGAAAGCTGCAGGTTCTGTCAGGTTTCTGCTCTCCTCCAACCTTACAGTGTCGAACATGTGCACAGAAGAAGGAGATTTGGGACCTTTTTTGAAAAAGGTCTCCTCTCAAGAGAGAAGAAGAAGGTGTCTTGGCTGACAAGATTTTTAAGTGTGCTACATCTGTAGTGTTATCTGATGGTTAAAAAACAAAAAACAAACAAACAAAAAACCAAAACCAAGTAAAACAAACCCACCCTGCCATTTTTCAGTATTACTTGAATATTATTATCTTAAATATATGGATTTTAGTAACTACTGGATACTAAAATTTGAATTCTGGAAAGCTTTTCATGGTTTGAAGTGCTTATTTCATAACCGTAGATTGCTGGTATAAATAGGAGAGTGAAATGGGAAATACCTTATTTTTTTCTGTCTACAAAAATCAAAGACCTTTAAAAGTCCATTTAATGCAACAGAGTGTTTCTTTATCACCAAGCTGAACAGCCCATAACCTTCCTGATTGCTAGAACCACTTTTTTATATATTTGAAAGAAAGGAAGGCTTTAAGCACTGGTAACAGTAGCCTGGCAAAGTCCAGGAGGCTTTCATGAATGATTTGGGGACAGCAAAGCTCAAATACCCACCAAAACCACACGATAAATTTGGGCCCAAACCATATCACTTTGACAAATCATTCGTTTAGGGACAGCAAGAGTAAACACAGTCTTTCAGAGAGCCATGTAATATACATACTATAATCTCCTCGTGGTAGAGTTCTGCTGCACAACACAGAGCAATGACAGAGTTACACGAGGGCCATCTCTTAATGACCTTTCTTGGACAGGGAGCACTAGATACCCCCCTGACCTGGCCAGGCGGGCAGTTTCTGGTGCTCACATTCTTGTTGGAGTCTACACTAAACCTTGCAAGCAAGAATATAGTAACATTGCACAGAATGCAAAAGGAAGGAGACCAACCGCAGGTTATTTACAGACAAAATGCAGCTTTTCAAGAACCAGTGTGTTCAAACACTGTAGAAGTAACTAAATAGACTAGCACCCTACAATGTCAATTGCAATCAACCAGGAAAATTGAAAACACAACACCCCAAACCGTTGCAGACCCCCCAGGTGCCCTCCTCCGTTTTTTTTAATGGCTTCCTTGTAGAAGAATATTGTTTAAAAATGAAAGGAACTGAAAAGGAAAAAAAAGGGTAAACTTTGTGCTCTGGTGGAAGCAAATGGACATTGGAGAGCTGATGCCAAAAAAGGGTAAGATTTCAAAAATTCCAGCAGTTCAGTATCACAGTTCCTACTGATGCAAGATACATTTTTTACTAGCTGAGTGCTGTGATGTGGCTGTCAGCCGAACAGCTGTGGCCACCGCTGTGCTGCAGGGCTGTGGTCCCCGCCGGCTCCGGCTGGGCCACTGGGCTGGCCACTCCGCCCTGCTGCCAGGCATGAGGACAGCAAAGCTCAGCAGCCAGCAGGGGAGGGACTGGCTGGAGCAGCCAGGTGGTAAAAATAAATAAATGGTTACATCTGACCAAAAAAACCCAAAAAACAAACAAACAAAAAAAACAACAACAATAAAAAAAAAAACCAAAAACAACCCAGAGAGAGAGAAAAAAAAATAAAAGAAAAAGAAGAAAAAAAGAACTCCTGGCGACGCAGCTCATGCATAATGAATAAAACCAAGAGACTGCCATGTCCCTAAAGTGCCACCTAGTGGCATGTGGGACAGGCCATTTCTGAGTGTTTTGCTTAGAGGAGAGTACCAAAAAAATAGCCTGTGCATTATTCAGAGCCTGCTGACTGTGCCTGCCCTGCAGGGTGGGCGGCCAGGCGGCCTGGGCACGGTGAGCCTCGGCTCTCTGGGGCGTCTCCTCTCCCTCTCGCACAGAAGCCAGCTCTATGCATTCGTGGTCTGCCGGCAGAGCTGCAAGTTGTCCTCTGCAAAAGATCTCCACTCCTCAGAGTGACGTGACTCTGATACATCTGCCCAACTGTAAAGAAATCGGTATGCTGTTGCAGGGGATTTCATTCAGGGACTGACAGCATTTAACCCAGGCAAAAATCTTTTGTTTAACTGCAACGTGCACCAATGCAAAGAAGGTTTGCTGATTCAGCTAACCCAACAAAGTCCTCTAGGCAAGGCCTGAGAGGCTTCAGAAATACGTTTGCAAAAGCTGGTATCTCCCCAAACTGGCCCCACGTGGATTTTAAAGGAAAAATCTCCTGCTTTTTCTTTCGGCAGAGGGATTCTTCAGATTTTCTTCCCTTCACTGATTTGGACATGGGGTGGAAGCCAGTCCTTGTAGCCTTCAGGTCACAGGCAGAGCGAGACTGGCTCCACAATACTCCTGTCCAAGCTCCTATACTGGAGTGTAAGGAAAAGGTGATCCATCAGGAGCAGCTGAGGGGGGTTCCCTTTACTTCACTGTTTTTATACCATGCTTAGTATAGTCTTCGGGCAACTCGTTTCTCATTCAGAAACACAGAAATAAGCTGCCTTCCCTCCACCACAGCTAAAAACGTCTTCAAAGATTTCCCACATCCTGGAAACATCTCACCATTATATTAGGGTTTAAAATTCTTCTGGTTTATGAAACTGGGAGATTATACATTATGCAACACAGTTTTCCAAAGGAAAATTCAGTTATAGCAGCGTAAAAGTGCTCAAAGCGTACCTCATTGACGCCCACAGAATAGAGTAAGCTACTGACAGAGGAAGCGCTGTGGTGCTGGTATGGCTGGCTCCACATCCAGGGTTACAGTAGGTGGGCAAGAAAATCTTGCTCATGTGCGGTACGCTACCAGTACCGCAAAAGAGAGTTTGCAGATCAGGCCTAAGAGTATCTTGATTTTGGGAAGAAAAGTAAATGACCACTGAAAAGAGCAAGACAGTGTTCTTTTCCAAATCTCCTGAAGAGCTGCTCTTTCCAAAGACCAAAGTTCAGCTATTAACGGGCAGTATCTCTTTCTTCCCCAGCAAAGTCTCATATTTTCTAGGAATAGCCATACCCTCCTTGTTCTTCCAGGCAGCAGATAAAACTGGCCAACAAAGTTTCTGTACAACGGCCACGGCAGAGACCAACCTGTGGCCTATAGCCAAAACTGAGCATTAGGACAGATAATTCCTCATCGTTAAGGAGAGCATTAGGAACTGCAAATGCTCATTAATCCATCGCATGATCCTTGACCAGCCATTCATAATCTTCTCACTGCTCCATGTGACAATACTTAACAGTACCTTTCTAAAAGAATATGTAACATTCACTTAAGCCCTAACTGCTTTTGAAAGCCTCAGATGAAAGATTTTCATAACTATAAGAGAACACATTACCTTAACAACTGGTTCTTTACTTACATTTCCAGTTCTTTTGCTCTGCAATGCTGGATTATATGTAGATTTCACACTCATTTTTCAAGACAGTCCATAACTGATCTTCCAGAACAGAAGGTCTATGCGGAGCTTTCACATTTCTATTACCTGAGAACCTTTTGCAAGAGGTGAAGTATATATTCAATCTTTCCCACAATTCAATCTCACCCACACTTATGCTCCAGGCTAACTTTACACATGGAAATAGTCCCATTGTAGTCAGTGGCACTACTCATAGAAATGAAATTATCTCTGTCCATTCATTGGAATAGCCCATAATCATTACCTATACAGCACCACCGCTTAGCTTTGCAAAAAAAAGTATTGAGAACAGCTTATCTGTAAGAAAA